TGTGGCGTACTGAAGAAATGCACATGCGGCCAACAGTCCCTTTATTAGCAGAAACATAGTCATCAAGTAGATAAAAGTGGCAGAGAGGGAATAAGCGCCTGTCTCTGACAACTCTGTTCATCATGAACAAAAGCAAGAAACCTCCAATTACTTTTTAAACAGCAGAGGGGAGGTACAGAAAACCCTATTAGCTGGGAACTGACTGGGCTGTGCACATCAGAACTTCACAACAGCTAAGAAAGCAAGGTAGTACTATAGTGGTGTACCCTCAAAGAGCAACCCTTCTTCTCCTATGAAGGCAAGCAGTCTGCTAAGAATGTTGTGAGGAAGAACCTACTACAAACAGCAGGAAAAGCTGCTGTCACAGACTAATCATGATTTCCCAAATCCAATTCAGAGAAGGTAGCTTTTTAGAGGACACGAACACAGAGAGAGCCAAAAAGAGCCAAGGCAACTTTTGCTTAAATGAAAGGCCAGTACTTTGTCCATCTTGTCTCTGCCACTTGCTGGTCAAACACAAGCACCTCTCACTAAAATGTAGCTTAGGGTAAACACAGATTACCCACTTGTAATTCAAGCCCTGCCACAGTTACCCATTTACCATGCCACAGTAAGAGCAGAGCAGTTCAACATCACACAGGCAGGTGCTGATCGCTTCTGCAACCTCCAGCTTCTACCCAGCATTAGGCCCAGAGCTAGGAAGGACACTAACAAACTGAAAAGGCAAAAAACAGTACTACGGATCAGAACGGATGAAGGAAACGCTGCTTACCCTGAAGAAAGAAGATGAGAAAATAGACAAAGTACAGAGATGAGTCCTGGAGAAGGTGACCTGAATTACAGCAGTTCATGGGGCGGTACCCTCGGAGGGTCACCCTCCAAGTACATAATTAGTGCCAAGCCTGAGAAAAAAAACACTGTTACTACGTTAATGCAGCCAAGGGGAGAGGGGGGAGCTTGGGAATTGGGTGGACAGAGCACAGAGGGTACATTTTCTTTCTTAATATAGAAGGAGCAATGATGGAAGAAGCAGACTTTCCTCACCCACAGCCAAGTCCTGGTGAAAATCAAGAGAAGCCATTGTAGAGATCAACTCAGAAGATCACTGCTGCTTTGGTAGAGTGGTAAGGCCTGAACAGTGAAGATAGCTTTAAATGGTGAAGAACAAAGGTTCCCATCCCACCCTTCTTTCCCCTCACCCCCTCTGCCCAAATAAAGTGTAAACATTCAATCCCAACACACCGAATTCTGGCTACTCTTTGAGTGGCTGAACATGCCAAATTTATGCTAATCTAGACAGAAGAATATTATTCCCATTATGCAGTATGTCATCTGTAAAAATGAAACAAAATACAGAATTAAAATAGATGGAAAATGAACAATAAAGAGATTAAGATCTAAATTGTTAAGATTTAATTTTAAAAATCATATTTTATGCTATAACTACATATATAACAACATATTTTAAAACTTTGTTCTTCACTTTTAAGGCCATGTTACACTGAAGACCCCTGTAGCTTGAGTTAGGCTGTGCTGTCACATCAAAGTACACCTGGAAGCAAGCAGCAGATGCGGGAGTGGGGAGAAAGAAGTGTGTAGCCTGGAGAGTTCAGAAACTATCTCCACTGAAGAGGAAAGAAACACAAGTTAGATGAAAGGGAGGAGGGCAAACATTAAAACACACCAACTGTGAAGAAAAGACTGGGAACAGACTTTGCTTGTAAACCAGAAAACTAGCAGCTGCCATGACACTTTACCACAGTTAATGAAGACTTTCATAATTGCCTTAGTCAAAATGAGCATATCCCCACATGATACATATACACACACATATATATTTAAACAAAACATGTTGAATGATAAACCATGCTAATATATTCCAATTTCTTAAACAGAATACTATTTAACTTCTGCTTTAAGAATACAAATTTGAAGTCAACAAGCCCTTAAAATGACAGGCTCAGAAGTTGCTAGCATAAAAATATTGAATGTTTATGAGGACATACATGTTCCAAAGGAGAACTAGTTATATACAGTTCATTATAGTTTTATAGTTAAAATGTGACTGTGTGTAAAAAAGAGAGAACAAAACCAGGAAGCACACACATTTACTGTGCTTGTGCTATTCCTGAAAACCTGGCAGCCTGTTATTCCTAACATATAACTTAAAGCACCTGTATCCACAGAGCACCTTGCATCCAAAACCATGCTTAACTTATCAAAGGCCTTACAATACATGTGGACTAGCACTATTTTCATGACTAACTGCTAAAGGCTACTTTCCCTTTCTTTGCTTGCTCTTCCCACCTGAACTCCTTCACTGCCATGCAGTTCCTCAACCTAAGGTAAACTGTTGAAATGGGAACCTACGATAAAGCTAAAAAAACAAACTCAAACAAGAAAACACATTCAAACCACAGAAAACAAAATACAGTGGAAACCTGTCACTTGCACTGTAAGGGATCAAAAATTAAATGATGTTACTCAGTTCAAGCAGTGAAGAGCACTACCAACAGGACACGGTCTGTCTGCTTAACTAAAATTACAGAAAAGCTTCTTAAAAGTTTTGAGCAATAGCTGGATGGATCCTTCATCAAAAACCAAAACACTCTGAACTGAAGAAGTAGGTGGATGCTTAAGCTTATATAATACATGTTTTAAATAAAGAAGGTCTCAATATATTTCCTTTCAATCAGGAGATATGTGTATAGACATATATTCATCAGGCATTCTGACCAGATCCTATACTATTGCTCGCCCCATAGAGAACAATCCAATTGTCCCTGCAGAAAGCAGAAACGTGGGACGTGTATGTCTGAATACTTCAGCAGCGAGTGCTGCAATTAAGCATGCCTCTTCATGAAAGATTATCAAAGGGCACCAGGGGAAAAAAGTATGCCTCGGGGGCACAGTCCTTCTTCTGTGATCTTCCTTCACTGGAATCCCTCCCACATCAATCTGGGAAGAAACTCTATCCTACCTTACCGAAAAAGTAGTATGAAAGACAAAGTCTGTTGCACTGGAAAGAAAATTAGCACCTAGCGAGAGCTACCTCACTATCTAGGACTGGCAATTATGCAAGACAGACATGCCCCCACTCAAGGAGGGGACTGATACTCACATAGTGCTTTCCCTTTGCCTTGGGTCTTCAAGGGAAACTGCCGAAATAGTCAACATGTACAATGCAATAACCTAAGCACAAGCCTCTGAAAATTACTAGTGGTTTTGACTAGCCTCTTTCTGCCATATGCCAGCTGCCTGCAACTAGCCCTCCTACATGCATTGGCTGGTCAGTCATGATCTCATGTCATACATCAGCTGGATCTGTGTCAGCACCCTTTCTGTATTCTGCAACTCTCACCTCCTTCACTGTAGCTCTCTGAAGCCAAAACTGCCTTCTCCTCTGTCCAACAGCCTCCTTTTTAATTACTGTGCTTTGGACTGTCATAATCGATATGCATTAATCTTAGAGTTTAATCAAGTCTGTCCCCTTCAACTGCATGTTCTTACTGCAACATGGCAGGGCTACTGGATGATCAGAAATAAAACTTGTGTTAGGTTTTTTGTATACTTTTACATAGTCAACCACAGTATTTTTGTATTGGATTGTTTTGCCATTAGTTACTTTCTGTACTGTCGCTTCTGCTCAAAATGTCAGCTGCTGGGCTGCACAATACTAGTACACACACTTAGAACAAAAGCTTAGGGAAGAACAAGACCCACTTCCTTCCAAATAATGGCTGATAACTGAAGCCAGTCCCTTCTTGCTTTCTGGGCCTTTATTATCACCAAGTCACTAGGAAGAAAGTAGTTTTCCTAAAAGCTGCAGCTGTTTTGTCAACATAATGCCTTAGCTACAAACAAGTTCAGTAACTCATGTTGCCAGTTTCCATGTAGTTTAAGAATGCAAAGGTCTACAGAAACATTCCTAAGCGCCTGTGTTTCAGATATCAAGAGTGATACATTTTTAAATCTACTTCTTGATTTTTAATAAGTACTGTAGAAAATAGACAACAGAGAAACCCTGGGGAGCAGGAAAAGGACCTCCTGCATGATGTCAAGAGGCAGCAAGGAGACTTCCAGCATCACAGCAAGTACTGTACAGCCTTGCAGCTAATAAATAGGAATGACCTAAGGCTACATGAGCTTTGACCCCTCAAATCTCCAACATCAAAAACCGCATAGTTCTCACTTCATTTTATTACTCGGTAAACAAGAGAGATGGCTACAATCAATGTGTTTTACAAGTCAAAGCAGAACACGAATATGGTACATTGCATCTTTCATTCTGAAGCATTCAGCATTTTATTACTGGACCACACTTTTCTGTTCCAAACACAGGTAGTTGTGATGTAAAGCCAGCCATTTTCCCCTCTGCAGTCAGGGACCTGGCTCAGTACATTTCCAGCCACCTTGTATATTCCCAGGCTTTATACCAGCTCTAAGCCTACCATATGATCTCACTGCTTTTCTGGTTCTAGGTTAACTGAAGAGATCACCTTACACTAGCAAAGAAGCATCTGGGGAAGAAAAAGTTTATTTAAATGTGCATGCAATGGGAAATTATATACTGTACTTCGTGCAAGATAGTGTTTTCTCTTTTAAAAAAGAAAAAAGACAGTATGTGTGGGTGGGGGAAAGGAAAAACATAAAGAAGCAGTGATTCTTTCTAAATGAAAATATTCATAAAGATTTTTTTTTTCAGTAGTATTCTTATTTCTTAGGAGCACAGATTGCAGTAGAGAGGGAAAAAACCAAACCCATACAACTCCATTCACATACCTGCTACATTTTAAAACCTGTCTTAGTATGTGGTACCTTACTATGAAATACATTAGTAGGAAAATTATTCAAGAGAAAAGAATTGGTTTTATCTTGCTGTTTTGAAAAACTGCCTGTGAAAAAGTGAAAACATTTGAGTACGAATATGAAAACCCGAACACATTTGAGTACGAAAAATTGAACACAAGCTGATGAAATGTAAAAATTTAAATACTTACTGCGTAGGAGCCTATGAGGAATGCAGCATTTGCTTGTTTTTTCTGATCAAATCCAGTATAATGAATTATTTTCTTCCTTATCAATGAAAATGACTGTATCAAGAAATGAACAAGATTATGATTTTGCATTTTATACTTTTCCTGCTTTCTTTTATAAAATGAGAGGAATGCCAAGGGTCTGTTATCTGCTTTCAGCCACCTGTACTCAGAGGACCAAGTATACTGTGGACTAGTCCCTCAAAAGCTTTGGAAGCTTTATTGCATCCCCTACCTAGATTGTTCCAGTATTTTCCCAGTATTCAGCCTAAATAATTTTTGATACAAGTTACAGTAATCTTTATTTTTCTCCTTAAATGCATTTAGTATTTCTGACTTCAAGCCCTATGTAACAGATAGGCATTTATAAGAAGTAAACACAAAGTGGCATTCTCTGAAACATCGCAGGCATGTTAAAGTCACAACAGTTTTGAAAACAGAATTTAGACTTTTCTTATTCTTAAAGAAAACCTGAGTAGATAAATCAACTAGTAGTTGTTTCTAAGGAACAGAACCACTGGAAAATAGATTGAACTATTACGAAAGTATTTCTAAACTTTACCATAAATAACTTTTTAAAATTTCATCTCAGCTTGGCATGTGTTTTCTCCAGTTATCTTAGAAAGAGAGTGGAATGGCATTGCCAATAGAAAGGCCACTTATATCTGCGGTGGCAGCAAAAACTATCCCCTAACTGGCCCTTGAAACAAATCTTGACGTGCTTGAAACTGTATACTTTGATCAACTGCTAAGCTATCTTAAAATGTGACTATGTAAATAGCAATGTTACGTGCTCAGACGCTATTCAACGCACCCAAGACAAATAAACCCCAGATCACCAGCAGTAGTATGTCCTCAGCAATCCTAACATGCCTCTCCAATATCAAACCCAAGATATTCAAAGGGATTATAATATAGACTTGAGTTGCTTCAGAGCACCCTGTAAACAAAAATCAGGTAATCTTGTCTCCCACAAACCTGTCTGAAGTGCCACAGGGGCAAAGCAAGCCTGAATTACAGAAACTAAAACCAGTGACAGACACCAAGGAATGAAAAAAAAAAAAACAAACCGAAACCACTCTTAAACTATAATGTTCTGCATACTTCCCAATTTTCATAGTTCAGAAGCAGTTTCAAGATCTAAGCAGTTTTGAAGAGGCAAACTGTGATTCATATTAATGCTAATAAGCTTTTTTATCTGCCTAACAGGTTTTATACTCCAATATCTGTCAGAGGTCAACTAACTTGAAGGCATTCATGTTAATTAATATAAGAACTCTCTGTTTTAAAGACACTATGCGCTATCAAGAGCCCAACCCCCCAAATTACTGAGCACCCCTCAGAGAAGATAATCTAAGTAGGAGCACGGCAGTCTCCTTCAGGACAATGCCATAAAAGCTATCAAAAAATCAAATGTTGCTTCTAACCAAAGAGCTGCCAGGACCAGAAGAGAAGTCCAAGTTAAACAAAAATCATCTCAAATAAAAATGTGTTGCACTGCAGCCTCAAACTCGCTCAATACCAGCAGATTGCCAAGAAGACTGAAATCCAGGAGGGGAGCTTTTAATTTAAAGAAGTCTGTACCCATTTAGCAACTGATCTTTTAGGAGTTTAACATTAGGTACTGCCACAGTGGTGCATCTTCTGGATCTTAAACGTAAGTGGGCTTTCCCACCTGATTCTCCTCTTCCTCCTGCTTAAACTCACCTTGATAAAATTTAGCATTTATATTCAAAACCTGTCTGGATTAGGAACCTAGCAAAGTACCTGAACAAATAAACCTTTTGGCCTATTTGGTTTTGTTCTTTAAAAAGTCAGGAATATTGAATAAAAACCCCAAGTGTTACCTTTAACTTCTTATTTAGCTTGCAGCAGTATCGGTAGACCATTGCCAGATTAAGGGGTCCAAAGTCTGCATAGAAGCTGGTAGGAGAAAGGGGAAAAATCATATGTGACCTCTGTAAATGCCTTTTTTTAAAATTAGATGCACAAAGCAAGTAGTAACAATATGTGATACATGTGCATCATTCTAAAAACAAGAATGCCTTCTTAAATACATACTATTTTGTTGGAGGAAACAGTTTTGTCATCATCACACACAAAGAGTGACTAAAACTGTTTTCTTTGTTTTCCACACTCCACCCCTCAAAACCAATCTCAAGGTTTGGAAAATTCTCACTCCTGTATCATTCTGTGACACCAGTTTAGAAACTATTTTAAAAGCAACTCAAAAGCTTTACATTCAAAGAAGGCAATATTGCTAGAGAAAAGTCAACACAGAGAATAAAGATTGATCAGTACTTTCAACAACAGTAAGCATGCCCTTAGTCAAAAATATTGAAAAAATTAGCAGCATTCCAGATCACATACAAAGGCATACACTGTTCACTACAGGGGAAATAATATATCCATTGTCAGCTCATAAAGGCTTGAACTCATTTTGCCAGTTTTTTCTATTAGTCTAGGAAGTTTAGACATTCCACTTAATACTTGAGCAACCAAAGACATCCCCTTCAGTGTGGCAGTCCACTGCGCACTTCTGAATATAGATTGTTGCATCATGTTCCTGTGTCTTCTAGCAAGAATGGGTACAATGAAAGCTTCTACTTTGAAAAGATTTTTAAGAAATCCTGCCGGGAAGCCAAGAAACCATTCTAAGATATATAAATCATCACGGCAGATAAGTCCAAGAGGACCAAACTCATGCAATTAGTTCTATAATGGGAATGGTATGTTTTCCTCAGCTACATTTAAAAACAGAATGTCAATTAGACTGGTTCCTCATTGATGTTGCTCTAATTTATTTATGTAAAAATCAGGAAAAAATAAGTCTTTACTTACTTCTCATATACAAGTTCATCATCTACGCAGAAGTAATGGGTATTTGCAGCTCCACTCTTTGGTTTTTGGCAGAGAATTGCAAAATAAAGGCGATCTGAAACGCAAGAAAATTTAAAGCTTTTAGAAACACCACACTTTTCTGCTAGAAGTCTGAAGTACTACCTGTCAACAGAACAACTTTAAATGGTTTAAAATGAAACAAATCTTCTTTTAAGTATTACCAAACTAGATATTACTACTCCCCCAGTGTTAAGCAACACAGCACACAAAGATTGAGGGTTTTTGCTCAGCGGTGCTCTGGTAATCCGCAGCTCTTTAGTGTTCTTTCCCGAACAAAGCGTTCCCAGGAAAGCTACCTGTTTGACGACTTGGCACTGTAGCAGGAGCCTGACTTGCACCCACGCATATAGCAGAGACCCACCTCCTTTTGGCAAGAGACTCCACCTGTTGCGCTCCGAACACCAACACTCCTTTTTTTCCCCCCCCCCCCCCCCCCCCCAGCTACAAATCCCTCAGCACCTACGTTAAACTAAACGGCGAATCGCGCTCGTACCAAAACACAGGCACTTCCCATCTTTCGGTAAAACCGTGATTTCGACAGCAGCGGCGTGCAATGAAAGCCTGCAGGCGACAGGCGCTGGAGGGATGCGGGGGGCGAGGTGGCAGCTCACCGCCGCCTGCAGGAGGATCGGTGGACCCACCACCTGGAGATCGCCACCCGCATCCCCATCCCACCCCGGCTGCCCCTTCAAAGCCTGCACGCATGCAGGCAGGAGGCACCTTGTCTTGCCCTGGCTTCCTTTGTTAAGCTGAGGGGAAAAAAACGCCAGTGGTATTCACACAGATATAAATTATTTTTATGGCTGGGGGAGCTGTGGCCCCAGTGAACTTTAAACACTGACTGCGCTGCTGCTGTAAATTGCTGTGCTTGTGGTAATTGGTCAATAAAAATTGAGGCCTT